GATGAGACGCGAAATTGTAGCCGAGCGCACACGCTACACATGCAGGGCGTGCAAGAGCAACATGCGGGCGGATTCGCCCATGCATTCCAGGGATCCAGCAGGGTGCCGCTACCTGCGCAGCACACCGATCCTTTGGGAGCGCTGTGGCTGCCAGGACCAAAAGGAATGCGACCGCCCCGCGCGCGCTCACGACTTCGGCAAGTGCAGGGTCGCAGATCCTTACGCACGGCGGCGCCCATGTGCCCGCCAGCACCCACGAGCGCCGGCGCGACCTGGAGGACCGCGTCCGTCCGGCGATCAGCAGGCTCAAGTACCGAGCGGCGCAGACCTTGAAGCAGCAGCCGAAGCTGCCCTGCCACCCGCCCGCAGGAGAGTGAGGAGCCAGCTCATCATCCAGCGCTGGGGCGGGGGCAAGGTGTTCGGGCCACTGTGTCGCTCGGCCAGGGGCCCGAGCTGGCCTCTCATCGGGCTCAGAGCGCCGACGGTCACCTCCACGAGCTGCCGGTGCAGCTGCAGGCGAACCAACAAACCCTTCAAAGTGGATTCGCTTCGCTGCCACCGCATCCGTACGAACACCTTGCGGTGATTCTGCGGGAGCTGCGCAAACTACACCTCCAGTGATGGCGAACCACCAAGGAGGAAATGTCACGAGCACTACGAGCAGCCAACATACCACAAAACATTTTCAGATTCGTCCCCACTGGTCAACAACTGTAGGGGGTGCCGCAAGTGGTTACCACCAGCGCGCCCGGCGATCCCCGCGCCCCGACATTCGACGCGATTCCACCAGCAAGCCGAGTGCGATATCTTGTTCTACAGGGGTCGCATGCGAATCCGCCTGATCTAGTGCGCCTCCCTGTGGTGGTCTGGATATCGCGTCCAAACATGAATCGACGCTGCTTGCCGCCATCGACCGCTCGTGGATCCAGCTGTTCAGTTCGGCACGATGGAGACTGTCATCGTGAACGGCGAGCGCGGGATGACATAAACGTACCTCGTGGAGGAGATGAAGAGGAGAGGAGTACATAAATATTCGGGCACATCTTCAGCACGCTCGCTTTGTCGAGTGACGTGGGACCATGTTACGACAAACACCTCGCACCACAGAGGAGCAGCTGGAGCGCCAAGGCATCACTGCGATTTTCGGCTCCATGCTAGCAGGTGCCATCTTTGCTGTGGCGTTACGCTATGCAACGTCGTCTTCGGTCGGCGGCCGTCGATGCTGCCACTTCTCGTAGCAGACGAGCAGGGTGAGGCATCTGGCGACTGTCGCTGGTGCCGAGCTTCTTGCTGGTGGAGAAGTGCAGCCAAGCCGACTGCAGTGGCATCCGTGAGATCGCCCGCAGCGCATGATCGAAGCCGCCACGATCGAACGCGCCAGCCGTGCCTTGAGGGCCCGCGCCGCCGAGCCTGGGGAGGGCCTCTTCAGCGTGGGCGACCAGGCGGATATCCACAGGCCGCCAAAAAGTAAAGACATGTCTTGCTGTGCTGGCCCTGGGACAGTCATGTTTGCAGACCTGGCTCAGGTTGATGGTCAAGTGCCGCCGAGCCGAACTGGGCTGTGGACTGCGAGACGTTGAGGCTTTCATCCGTGCCGTCTTCGACGACGCGGGCGCCGGCATGGCGCGAGCAGGCTTGGCCTGGGACCGCGTAGAGGATTGCCTGCTCTGGGGCCAGGTCCATCGTGCACTCTGTGGACGCTGAGAGCGTGCAGCTCACGGAGCGCGCCTGACAACGCCCAGACGTCCTCGGAACCCTGCGCCATTTGCCCCGCGGGTGCTCAGCTACTCTACGCTCGCGTTGAGCGACTCTCGCGCGGACAGATATGTATGGGCAATTGGCCAGGCTGCGCCCGCGGCTTGGCCATCTGGTGGTTCCCTTGAAACCCAAGCGGCGCGCGGCAGGTCCGCCTCGACGGCGCCGTGTTCGACGCCCGCCAGCTCATCGGCGAGCATTGGAAGGAAGCTCGCCCCGTCCACTTTATCTTGGGTGACGGGCCGTTACTGGGACCTGGGCGGAACGTTTGAAAACTGTGGCATTGACGTTCCCGAGGGCACCGCCAGTGCCGCCGAGGGTGGTTCGCCATCGTCGGCCGTGCCGGGAGGGGCCGGCGCCGACTTCTTTGGCCATGTCCATTAGGTGACGCTGGCAGCTTGGCGCGAAGTCCAGGGGGCAGAGGATCTGGCGCAGGAGCTCGAGGAACTGGAGAGCCGCGACAGCTGGCGTAATATTTGCGCTGCTTTCGGGCGCGCCGCGGTAAGCCTAGGCCGCGGGCCCCGCGAGGTGGCCCCGGCGCCTCGAGTCGCTGCGCCGGCGTCGGAGCATCCACGCGCCGTGCCGCTACTACTTGCGCGGGTCCACCTTGGACGACTCGGGCGCGTGGAGTTGCGTGCTGACCATGGCGCGCGCGATGCATTCGTGAGCGTTGACGAGGCTGCTTCCGACGAGTGCGTCGTCGGCGCTCTTCAGACAGCCGCGTTCGACGCATGTTCCGCCGTCGAGGCCGCGGTCGTTGAGCGCGACGCGGGCCTTCTGTCCGAAGAGGATGTGCGAGGCTGTCATGTGCAAATGGTTGGAGAGGCAAAAGGTCAAAGTCGCCCGAAACGCAATGGGGTGGAAGCATTGGAAGGATCAGACGGCAAGACTGTTCGGATCATCCGGACTGTTCGCGACGCGGGCGCCAGGGCCCAGGAGACGTTCGTTGGGGCGGAGAAGTGGGCGCTCAGCCCCCGCCTTCCCCGGGGGCGGCGCGTCGCCCCGGCCGGGTGCGCGTCGCCGTGGGCGTCGAGGGGGAATTCTTGCAAGGCGTGACCTTTTCGGAGATGTAGGGGCAGGGCGAAGCGCCTCGAGTCGGCCTGCCGCCCGGCCGTGCAGCCGCCCTCGAGCAGATGCCCGGCTGCGAGGGCGTCGACGAGCGGACCGAGTGCCTTCGTTGCGTCGAGCCGGGCACGGGCGCAAGGAGGCGCCCGAGCCTTCTCCAGGGGGCTCGCCAGGGTCGCGCGCTCGCCCGAGTGTAGCGCAAGCTTGCAATGTGGGTCTCGGAGCTGGAGGTCAGGCGCGCGACGACTGGGGTTTGTGTTTCCAGCGTCTCGGAGCAGGCTTTCTTGCTGTCCAAGCATGTCGACGGTCTGGGAGTCCCTGGACACAGGGGGCGCGTCGACCGGCGGATCAGCCAGGTCGAGGGCGTCTTCGGCAAGATGAAGGGTGATTGCGACGATTTCACCGCATCGACGCTCGGATGCCGATCGGACGCGTCGACCTGGCCGAGGCCGTGGCTGACGAGCCGGCCAGAGGTCAGCTCCCAGACCTTTGCGTCTCCCTCTTAGGAGCAGCGGCCTGCGCCCTGCTCCCCCAGCGCCGCGTCGCAGCGTGCGCCGTCGCCTTGCAGAGAGCCGAGATCAAGCGGCTCGTCCGACGCGCGACGTGCCTCGATGCGCTTTTTCAGGCCATGCAGAAGATCATGGCTCGTATTGGACTTCCACCCGTGCAGCGCGACCGGCAACGCAGCGCGTGCGTCGACAGGTCCTCCGAGGGGGGGGCCTGGATGCGGCGCGTGAGGGGCAGTGTGCATGCGTCTCGGCAAGTGCCGCCGCGGCGGTAAACTGGCGTGCCGCCTGCTGGGCGCAGTGAGCCGATCGCGCAAGCTTGCGTGCCGGTCCTCATTCGGGTCTGAGCTGTTCGCAGCCGGCGGCGCAGCAGACGGATTGCAGGCGCGCCTCCTCGCGTTGTGCGAGATGGTGCACGGCCCCGCCTCTGCCGAGGAGATCAGGGGGCTGATGGGGGATGGGGTTTGCGCGATCCCTGCGGATCTCGGCGTCGACGGCGTGTTCGTTCCCGGCGCCCTGCGCGTGAACTTGGGCAGGCCGCCTTCGGAGAACGGCGTGGTCGGCCACATTTTGTGGGCAGCCTGCCAGCTGCGAGCCAAGCTGATCGACGACTTGCTCTGGTGCGACACTCGGGGCGCGCGGGCCGACCCCATGGCCGAGGACAGCATGGGCCGAGAGCTAATCCGCAGCGTGATAGACGGCTCGGCCAGCTATGGTGGCGACGAGAAGCTGAGGATGGCCGCCCCGAGCTCGCAGCGCAGCTCGCTCACGCAGAGGTGAGGATGTGCTTCTGGTGACTGTGTCACGAGGTCATGCGCAGAACCTCGAGAGCCACAGTGGCCCACTGGGGGAGGGATGCGAGCGTTGCTTCCGCGAGCCGCAGTGGCCCGCTGGGGGTGTGGTGTTAGATCCGACGCGCGCGGGCACGAGCGAGATTGACGACTCGAGCTCTCAAGTGAGGGCTGCTTTGGCGAACTGTGTTCGCTAAGCAACAATGGTTCTTTCGCAGTCGCTCCTTTGATAGTCTCGCATTCTACTGTCGCGGGATGATCCGGCCTGCTTCGGTATTTCTTTAGAAGCTGTGCTAGGAGTACTTATCGCTCCTCTTCATGTGTCCTAATAGTTCCTTGGGGGTTGGCACCTTTGGGGCCGAGGTGCCTTGGGGCGACGCGAAGTCCGGCACCTCCCGGAGATTGCCGAAACCAGGCTCAGTCATGTTACTTTCCGGGACTTGTGTAACTTTTCTGCCACTGTTGTTGCCGTTGCAAAGCACGACGGACTCGTTTGAGTGCCAGACTCGATCGGTCGCCTGCCTTTATCACCCCGTCCTTGCCGCTGCCATCTACAGCTTGCAAGCACCGTGCGCGTCGTGCCCGCCTTAGACGCGCCTCAGTCCCTGTTTGCATTCTGTACACTCCGCCTTCACAGCGCTGCTCAAACATACACCTGCACCTCCACATCCCCATCTCCAATCCCCTTCACCGTGCCCTCGTCCTCCTCCTCTCCCCCCCTTGTTCTCCTCCCCCCTCCCCCCTCTGCCCTCCCCCCGACCCCCCCCTCCTCGCCCCCCCCCGTCCGACTGCGACGACGCCGACGCTGACGTCAATGCTGACGCCTGCCGCGACGACGGCCGACGACGCTCACCACGACGGCTGGCGGTCGACGACCGCCGAGGTGCCCCCGCAGGGGGCCCTGCCCGCGCCCCCGCCCCGCGCGGCCGCTGGAGCGCCGCCTGGCGCGCAGCCCCTGAGCCTGGAGGCGGCGGTGCTGGCAGGCTGCCAGGGGCGCGAAAAGCTGAGGCTCACTCGAAGCCCTCGAGTCGAGGGCGGACAGCACGGCACACACGGGAACCTCTGGAGCTCCGCGCGGATTTTTTTTGGGTCCGCGTTGGGCCCCCCTGGCAGTGCCCCCGGCGCTGCCCCCGGCGCGCTATGTTTGTGCCGTTCTCTGTTTTTCTGTCGAGGCCTGGGGCCGTCGGCCTCCGACGGCGCGCTCTTTCACCCCACGCGCGGCGCGTGCCCCTCGCTCTTCGGCCTCCATGGGGCCAGCGGTCGCGAGTCCGGGACGCAGAGCTGGAACTCCCGCGGGGAACGGGGTTCGGGAACTCGGGGGGCCGCGCGGGCTGAAGAAGACATGGCGGAGGATGTCTGGAGATCCGCGCATCGAGGATCGAGAAGTACGTTCGCTGCCCCGGAAGGATTGAGGTCGAGCGTTGAGGACCGAGGATCGCATGAATGCTGCCGCCCCGATGGAAGATCGAGCTTCGACGCTTGAGAATCGAGGTCTGGGGACCCAGACATCCGGCGGCCCCCAAAAATCGATACGGCGTAATTTGGGGCCTTTAGAGGCTTGTTTCGGGCAGCGGACTGTCCAGCAAACGGCTCAGGACGAGAAGCCAACCCTCGGACAAGGGGTGGAGAGGTCCAAATGAGTTGCAACACCGACCCACAGTATGATATGGGGGGAGGGGGTGAAGTCTTTCGTGTGACGTGTGTTAGGACATCCTCCCCCCTCTGTCAATTAAAGCTGTGCGCGGCCCGCTTAGCTTCGACCAGAAGAGGCTCGCTCTCGACCCGCGGATCAAAAAAGTGTTAGGACATCCCCTAATCTCGGCGCTCTGTGCCTCTTCACGCCTTCACTTCAAGTTGGCCCAGGCCTTTGCTGCTCGTACGAAGCGCGCATGCAAAATCTACTAATTACGGCATCCCCGCGCCGGCTTTCATGGTCAGAACGGGCTTCTCTTCTCTTCTCTTCTCTTCTCTTCTCTTCTCTTCTCTTCTCTTCTCTCTCTCTCCTCTCCTCTCCTCTCTCTCTCTCTCTCTCTCTCTCTTCTCTCTCTCTCTCTCTTCTCTCTCTTCTCTTCTCTTCTCTTCTCTTCTCTTCTCTTCTCTTCTCTTCTCTTCTCTTCTCTTCTCTTCTCTTCTCTTCTCTTCTCTTCTCTTCTCTTCTCTTCTCTTCTCTTCTCTTCTCTTCTCTTCTCTTCTCTTCTCTTCTCTTCTCTTCTCTTCTCTTCTCTTCTCTTCTCTTCTCTTCTCTTCTCTTCTCTTCTCTTCTCTTCTCTTCTCTTCTCTTCTCTTCTCTTCTCTTCTCTTCTCTTCTCTTCTCTTCTCTTCTCTTCTCTTCTCTTCTCTTCTCTTCTCTTCTCTTCTCTTCTCTTCTCTTCTCTTCGCTCATTTCCTTTGCGCCTCCGTGTCTCAATTCGCCTCCACTGCACCCCACCGCTTGTTGACCGGCGTCTGGCTGTCTTGGACCACCCGGCGGACTTGAAAACGAGTGATATGACATCTCAGGCGATGCTTCGCTGAAGCCGAGCTTCGGTTCTCGGTTCTGGGATGAGCACGTGCTTCAGCTCAGCAAGGCCCGTGCTGGGCGGGCCACGTCGGCCCCACCCAAGGCCACGACGGCTCGGGGGTCGTCGCCCGACCCGTGTATTTCGAGTACTACAAGTTTCCCATATCCTGATGTGGGGTCAGTGTGATGCCTCCGCCTGCTCGCACTCCCGCCTCCTCCGTCTCTTTCACTCAGACCCTCTCAGGCCCAGACTCACCCACGTTCAGACCCACCAGCTCTCAAATTCACCTACACGCGCACTCACTCACACTCAGGCTTGCTCGCACTGGGACCCACTCACATTCACCTTCGTCATACTCGTACTCATACTCGTGCACAGACCGCGTGCACTCATATCGTTCACAGTCCGGGTCGCTTATATTCCAACTTTCGCGCAATCTGACGCACTAAGTCACTCACTCATATTATTTACACCCAGATGCGCTCTACCGGGTCTAATCATTCCCACATCGCAGACTCCCTCACACTCAGACCTCACCCACAATCAGACTCACGCGCACCCAGGTTCACTCACGCAGAACATTCACACCCACGGTCAGCCCCTCAGACTCAGACCCGCTCATAGCCAGGCTCACCCAGATCCTCAAGCCCCATGATCACCGCAGTGTAGCAGGCACAGCACTCGGGCGTCCCAAGGGGGAGCCGCCAGGGGGTGTCTCACGAACCCGTTCGCGGGCAGAATGGTGGGGACGTCCAGAGCGACGCGCTGATTTTGGCACCCCGGGCCTCTGCTTGCAGAGCCCCAGGATCACTGCCATGTGGCAGCCATAGTGAGGCACTTGGGCGCCCCAGAGGGGGAGGCGCCAGGGGCTAGTAGGGGGCC